TCAGCCTCGTCATGGTGATGCCTTCTTCCATCCGTTGGACTGTGAGCCAACTTTACAAATCGGGTATGCAAATTTCGATTCGATTTTCTAAAGAAGCGCTGTAATTCGAATCAATTTCCGATTTTCTTGATCTTTAATTTCCAATTATAGATACCAGCATGATCCGATGTCGGTCGTCACTGCGACAGGCCCCGAGTGTGAGTAACTATATGACTGGTTGGTTAGCATAGATATGAAGGGGAAGAAACCATGGGTATGGATTTCTTCAGAAGAAACTACTTTATGTTATTCCATGAAAACAAATAGGTATACTGTCATGGATTTATTATTATTGTTATTATTATAAGCTTTGTGTTTTTACTTAGTATGCACTATAAGAAGCTCAGTGCGTCTTTGTAAGAAGATTACTTCCAACTTTTTCTTTGAGATTAATCTTTAATTAGTTTTAATGGAAAATTAGTTCGATTTTTTTATTGATACGAGGAGGAGATGATTGTATTTCGTTCTTCCGCTGAAGCATAATATCAAGTCATTACAACGTCAATGAATAAACAGAGTATGATTAAAATGTATCAAACTGTTAATTTGATTCATTGATATCTCATACATCCTCCCTCTAACCATACCGTATTTGTCCATTGAAGGTGGATGTATGAGATATCGATGGTGCATGAGGTCAATCACCCCTATATTAGATATTGAAGTTAGAAGTTCGACCGGAAATGAAATAATGCATCCAAAATGATTGTGAGAAAAGAATATACCGAAGTAGAAATTTTTTTGCTGAAAAAAATGATGAGGAAAGTTGAACAAAATCATTTAAAAAAGTAAAGTAACACATGTCACTCATCTATTTGTTAATTTATACCACGCCAGCAATCTACAATAGCAATGGGAGATATGGGTGATGACAAGAAAGTTGAGTGGGCAAATTGATAGTAAATATTTTTAAATCTACACAATGTTTGATAAAGTATAGTTGAGTGGCCAAAGTGGTTTTTGACCAATAAAATCTTTGGAATTTGATTCAAGGGATAAAACAAGTTTTAGTCCCGAAATTTGATTTCTTTATTTGGTCCTTAAATTTTTTGGGTAAACTACATATTTAATCATCCAACTATAATTTTGATTTTGTTTTGATCATTCAATTATTTTTTTCAAAAATGGATTATGTTTTGATCACCCGTAGTTAAAAAAATATAGAACTACCGGCGTGACAATTTTTTTAATGATGATGTGGCATTATCTTATGATAACATGTCAACATCTTCGTTTAATTAAGTATAAAAGATAATATTGACAAACAAAAGATACATCTTTTATAAGAATATTGATAATTCTTTATGTCTCACCCCAATTTAGGAGCTAAATCTTTCTAAATTTAAATTTATGATCTAAATTTTATTTCATTAAAATTTTAAACCAAATTCATAATAAGTGGAAAATTGGAGGACTTGAAGCATAACTTTTCCTTTTATAGAAAAATTGGATATATAATCCCACTTCCTAGAAATTTCCTAAGGTTACACCTACCAAAAACCTCTCTCTCTAAGAATCTTCCACCTCTGATTCATCGTCAACCGGCCGTTCGTGGTGTGTACCGTCAACATCAATGTGTTCTTCGTGGTGTTTCGAGTCTACTGGTATCAAGGTCGTCGTCGTCATCACCAATATGGTGGGAGGTGGATTGAAATAACATTAAGCCATTTTAAAATTCAACTTTCCGTCATTCTCCGATACGAAACAACATTGGTAAGAGACTCCCTAGCCTTTAAATTTCAATTCTGAAAATTTTGATGAGATTTCGACCAGCAGAGTCATCGCAGGCGCCGCACGCATTGCCCCCTGTGCGTGGGTCTTGTCTTCAGCTTAGGGAGCTTTTAGAACTCGCCTAAACTGGTCTGAACCAATTCGAAACAGACTTAGTTGCCCTAAGTCGAGCCGAGCCGCATCAAGTCGAGCCAAGCCATCGTTGATCAATTGTTGATTGACTGTTGACTTTGAACGTTAACCAAAAGTTGACTTTTTCTGAAAATTCATATTTTGGGATTTTTGACGTCCGGAGTCCGTTTCGTCAAATTCGAACATGGTAAGTTGTTTTTCAACGTTCTGAACTCCTGATTCAATTTGATTTTCATGTTTATGTTTTGTTTCAGATGTAATTCGCTTTGCCATGTATCTGAGATATTGTGGAACATTGAATTCAAGTTCAAGAATGATCGAAGAGAGTTTTAAGGTTGACCGATTTAGGTTGGAGTTGAGGTAATACTTACTACCTTTTGTATGCTTTAAGGTACACGTTGGTAATTGGTTAATGCATGAATGAATACGATTGATCTTGTGATTATCGTTGATTATTTTAAACTCGAACTGAATGTAAAAATTAGATAGTAAACTGGATAAGACTCGAATGACTCATAGAAGGAATTAGATGACTGATAAGAATTTCAAGTTCAATTATTAATTGATAAACAATTAACCTCGAAACCTTAAATCTTGATTATTCTCGTTGAAAATTCTAATACCTGGAATACTTGGAGGAGAAATGACGAAAATATCCTTGAGGTGTAAAAAGGAAATGGATTACACCTGATAGTGGAAATAACCTGAGAATTCAAACTTGACTCGATATAACTACTGATTCATCTATTACACTCCTGATCTATTTGGAAAGTCCTGGTAATATGTTTCTAGCCTTCGAAAATGCAAAATAATTAGATTTTTTTATTTTTAAATAAACATTTAAAGATCAATTAATCAAAAGTACTATATATGACTGAATTGATTGAAATATCTGAAATATCCTCGTGCACCTAAAAGACCTAAATACCGTTATGACATAGAATAAATGAACGTATTTGGATAAAATTTAGAAATACTGATAAACCTAAATGTTGTATAGCCCCTAAAGATTATGAAGCACGACCTATGTATGTAGGTCATTCCTAATATTGTTACAATATTAGAATAAAATAAATATCGCATGAATACATGATCGTCTCCTCGAGATCCGCTCAATGATGATTTGTGAAGGTGTACAACTATATTATACAGTTGATTCTAAGAAATGAATATTGGTGAAATGTCTCTGTCTGAATATTTGGTTAGTACCACATTATTGAGATCTGTTCAATTTTGATTGGACTTGAAAGCATGATACGTCAAGAAATCTTGAATACTATAAACCACTATTTAACCTTATTCAGCTGAATTACCAAAAATTTCTCTTGAATTCAAAATGACTAAAATGTCTTACAAGCTTAATTGATGGAATCACTTGTGATATATCTGAATGCTAAATAATCATGATGTAACAGTTCTCAAATGACCTTATGATATATATGAATCCTAAATAGTCCTGATGTATCAATTCTCCAAGGATTGGTGGAGCCATTGGTTATCGTACCCTTTTAATAGGGATCTCGTTTCTGAAAATCAATTCAAAACCGAAATTCTATGTTCCCTTTCTTATAATTATCAAGCACCTCTGAAAAATAAATTATATTTTCTAGTGTGTTCCTGATGTGTACATTACCATTATGATCTACTTATATGATATACTCTAAATTCTCTTATATTCATTTTGATGGCACGATCTCTTGTTACCGTTATTTACATGATATGTGAACATGTTTTTAGACTACCAAGTATTTTTTGATTTAATAAATTAAATCACTAATTACTCTTAAACACATGTATTTTTATTATCGTCATAGGAGGGTTATTGTTGGAGGATGTATTTCAGGTTTAGTCTATGACTTGTAAGTCCTTACCGTATACTCCTTTACTTTGTGCACATGATAAGTCCTTATTGCAATACAAAAGATCCTTACTGGGTGTATTTATGGTGTATGGTTCAAGATAACCTACACATTTTGGTGTTCAGATGGTTGTTACATGGTTTTTAAACTAACTTTAATGTCTTTTTAATTTTTTTAATGAAATAAATTTTGAAACTATCTATACATTTTTCTCTATACTTGATGGGGCACACTAGATTTCTCCGTTCTATCTCCTTAATCTGTCTATCTGTATGATTCTTCTAGACCATAAGTTTTTCGATCCTTATGTAGAAGATCAATTAATGAAAATTCAAATAATAAATAGAACCTGTGGGTATCTAGATTGTCACGAAAAATTTTATACTTTGTCATATATCTGAGTGTGACCTATAACATGATCTGATAATCTCGTATTATTGAATTTTCTTAAAGCTCATTATGTTATTTATCATTTCAAGTTAAAAAGAATTGATCATGGCGCAGATTTCAACATCAGTAATGAAAGTTTTTTAGCTTTGCTTACGGGGTACAACACATGTAATTTTGGGACATATAGGCCACATAGTTTTTTATATCGGAGTATGAAACTTGTTTTTGTAATTTGTACTTCTGAATTCGATTTTGATGATCGAAATAATTATATGAACTTACATTTTAGTATAGAAATTGTTTTCTGGTTTTAAATGGTTAGATAAATTTATTTTTCTCGGATTTTTATTGTGGGTCGCTTCGTCGACCCTATTGTGACAACTAATAATCGATCATGCCACCAATAACGGTTTGAGGGTGCTATATTTTATGTACTCGATTAGCTTCATACCAAACTCAACCTGAAATTACCCGAAGATACAAATGTTTACTCGAATTGAAAAATGACTCTCTGATATTGACTCGACTTGAAAACTGACCGATTTAATATGGATATGACCGATTTAATATTTATCCGACTCAAAATCGACTGATCTGATATTAATCTGACTCAAAAACTGATCGATCCGATAATAATTGGATCCGAAAATTATTTGATGTGATATTTACTCTACTCGATACCCAACTCAACTTACCATAAACACAAACTAAACCTAAACTAGGTCCAATCTAACTTGAATCAAATCTAACCAAATATAATTTAAACAAAAAATGATTCGAACCGAAGTAATCTAACCCGAACATAATTTTCTAACTATCCGATTGTCAAGTATACAAAAGCGTTGGAAGCTAGAAGGTTGCATTTAATGGCAAAGTTGTACTATCAGTTGTAATTGATATAGACGTGGACCAAGAAAGATTGGCATTCCAAGATTCGATTATGTCATCTGCTTCAGATTCTTCATCTCCACTTTCTTCGATCTCATTACCTGCTTTTGATGCTTTGATCAACTCCAGCTCCATTGCTACTTGTTTCATGATCGGCCTTTTTCCCCCGTTAAGATTCAAGCATCTTCTTGCTAACTTAGCCATTGCTATAATCTCTTTCTCTTGACTGTCATTTACTATAGTCGAATCGACGATGTCATGCAACGAATTCTCCTGCATTGACATCAGAAAGTGAGATATCAAGCTTCTCGCCTCGTCTGATTGATCCGAGATTATTGGCTTTTGTCCCGTTAAGAGTTTGACAAGAACAACCCCGAAGCTATAAACGTCACTCTTCTCCGTAAACTGACTTGACCGGAAATACTCGGGATCCATGTATCCGAATGTCCCTTGCACTCGGGTGGTCAAATGAGTTTGTTCGAGCGCAATCGATCTCAAGGTTCCGAAATCTGACACTTTGGTCCGATATTTATCGTCCAGGAGTATGTTGCTAGATTTGATGTCTCGATGATAAATAGAGACGGAAGCGGCCGAATGCAGGTAGAACAAAGCATTGGCGATTTCGATCGCGATCCGTAAGCGCATGTCCCATGTCAAAGGAAATTCTTCAGTTTGGTAATGGATGAGATCGTAAAGTGTGTCGTTTGTTGGATCATAAACATGATCCATTATGGGAGCCTAAACCCAAACCCAAACTAAATTGATGTCATTGCTTACATCATTTAAGTAAAGATGTCATTGCTTACATCATTTAAGTAATGATATCATTGCTTACATCAATTTAGTTAGGTGAGAGTTAGGTATTTGTAGACTTTTAATGGTTTAAATTAGTTTATTTGTGTGGTGTAGGATTGTTCTTGAGTAGTATAAATACCCCTCCCCATTTTAGTTTTAAACATCAAGAAAAATTAAGAGCTTCTAAGTGAGTGAAGAAGCAAAGTCTTATAAGAGTGAGTTGTAGTTCTTGTTTTTGAGTGAGAGTGCTCTTGTAATATTTATTTGAGTTTCAATAAAAAGTTGTTTGTGTTAGTGTTTTATTTCCATCAAAGTGCTATCAGAGACAGGTTGGAAAGATCGAAGGTCTCGACGAGAGGAATCCGACGCCGTCAGAATTTTCTCAATCTGAGTTCTGACGCACCACCACGCACCGCCGGAAGACTGTTGCCAGAAAATCGAGTTGACTCATCGAGTTGAGCCGAGTCAGCCGCGTTGGAGCCCCTTTGACCGAGTTATCCAAGTCCCTCCCAAGGTTTTTTTTTGGCGTTCCAGATTCATCCGTGCAATCGGATTTTACAAATTCTCATTATATTGAGAGATATGGCAAATGGTATGGCACCATTCCAAGTTCTGACACTCAACAACAACAACTACGAAAATTGGAGTATCAAAATGAAGGCACTTCTTGGATCACAAGATGTGTGGGATATCATAGAGAAAGGCTATAGCGAGCCTACGGATGATGATGTTTTTGCTACTCTTACACCAGATCAAAAGACAACTTTGAAGGATTCAAGAAAGAGAGACAAGAAAGCTCTCTACCTCATCTATCAAGCATTATATGATGATGGTTTTGAAAAGATTTCAAGTGCAAGCTCTAGCAAGGAAGCGTGGGAGAAGCTGCAAACCTCTTACAAAGGATCCGAGCAAGTGAAGAAGGTTCATCTCCAAACATTAAGAGGTGAAATCCTTACACATGAAAGCATCTGAGTCTATTTCAGATTATTTCTCAAGAGTAGTAGTTGTTTCTAATCAATTAAAAAGAAATGGTGAAAAGTTAGAAGATGTGAGGATAATAGAGAAGATACTCCGTTCGTTGGATCCCAAATTTGAGCACATCGTCGTGACGATTGAAGAAACTAAAGACTTGGAAGAAATGACGATCGAGCAACTCCAAGGATCATTGCAAGCATAAGAAGAGAAGCATAAGAAGAAGCATGAGTTTACTGAGCAACTCCTCAAGCTACAACTCAAGGATATGCATGAAAGCCAACACAATGATAGAAACCAACGTGGCCAAGGCAGAGGTAGAGGCCATGGACGAGGTGGAAGTAGAGGTCATAGACGAGGTGGAAGTTGAGGTCATGGACGAGGCTGGAATTACAACAACAAAAATTCCAACAACAACTATGAGAAAGGAGAAAGCTCAACACGAGGCTGTGGAAGAATCAATCCGAACTCAAGGCATGACAAATCTCAAGTTCAATGTTATAATTGTCAGAAGTTTGGGCATTATGCTTCAGAATGTAGAGCTCCCAACAACAAAATTGAGGAGAAGGCCAATTACGTGGAGGAAAATACAGATGGCAAAGAAACTCTTCTTTTAGCACGAAAAGAAACTGATGGTGGTCAAGCAAATTCCTGGTATCTTGACAGTGGTGCAAGCAATCACATGTGTGGAAGGAAAAACATGTTCGTGGAGCTAGACGAGTCAGTAAGTGGAAATGTTTCGTTTGGAGATGATTTCACAATAGCAGTGAAAGGGAGAGGTAATATTCTTATTCGTTTAAAAGATGGGAGACATCAATTTATTTCAAATGTCTACTATGTGCCCAATATGAAAAGTAACATCTTAAGTTTAGTGCAACTGGTAGAGAAAGGTTATGATATTCATGTGAATAATTATAATCTTTCTATAAAAGATGATAATAATAACTTCATTGCTAAAGTACCGATGTCAAAGAATAGAATGTTCTTGATCAACATACAAAATGATGTTGCAAAGTGCCTGAAATCTTGCTACAAAGATGCATCATGGCTTTGGCATCTTCGATTTGGGCATCTCAATTTTGGAGGTCTAGAGTTGTTATCTAAGAAGGAGATGGTGAAAGGACTACCTCGCATTAACCATCCTGACCAGCTCTATGAAGGGTGTCTAGTCGGGAAACAATTCAGGAAAAGCTTTCCAAAGGAGTTAGAGACAAGAGCCAAGAAGCCACTTGAGCTCATCCATACCGATGTGTGTGGACCGATCAAGTCAAGCTCTCTCGGTAACAGTAACTATTTTCTTCTCTTCATTTATGATTTTTCAAGAAAAACCTGGGTATATTTCTTGAAACATAAGTCAGAAGTTTTTGAAGTCTTCAAGAAGTTCAAAGCAGCAGTGGAGAGAGAAAGCGGTAGAAATATCAAAGCCATGAGATCCGATCGAGGTGGAGAATTTACTTCCAGGGAGTTTCAAGAGTTCTGTGAAGCAAATGGAATTCGTCGACCAATGACAGTTCCTAGATCCCCCAGCAAAATGGTGTGGCAGAAAGAAAGAACAGAACAATCCTCGACATGGCACGAAGCTTGCTCAAAAGCAAGAAACTACCCAAGGAATTTTGGGCGGAGGCAGTAGCGTGTGCAGTCTACTTGACAAACCGATCTCCAACAAGAAGTGTATGGGGAAAGACACCGCAAGAAGCATGGAGTGGAAGAAAGCCTGGCATTTCTCACTTGAGAACCTTTGGAAGTATAGCCCATGTTCACGTACAAGACGAGAGAAGAACGAAGCTTGATGATAAAAATGAGAGTTTTATCTTCATCGGCTATGATGCTAATTCGAAGGGCTACAAGTTGTACAATCCAAACAATAAGAAGTTTGTGATTAGTCAAGATGTGGTCTTCAACGAAGAAGGAGAATGGGATTTTAACTCTCATACAGATGATTTCAATTTCTTTCCTTAGTTTGAAGAAGATGAGCAGACAATGAGAGAACAACTAGATGAATCTCAACAAGAGCTTGCAACTCCACCCACTTCACCAACATCAACCACTCAAGGAGACTCATCACCTTCGTCATCGTCAAATGGAAGTCAAAGTGAAAGAGTTGTGCAACGCACAAGAAGCCTTAGAGATCTCTATGAGGTAACTGAACGACAAGATAATCTTACATTATTTTGTCTGTTTGTCGATTGTGAACAAGTGAGCTTTCAAGAAGCGGTACAAGAAAAGAAATGGAGAGATGCAATGGATGAAGAAATCAAGGCCATCGAGAAGAATGACACATGGGAACTTACCTCACTTCCCAAGGGACATAAGGCGATAGGTGTCAAATAGGTGTACAAAACAAAGCAAAACGAAAAATGAGAGATTGAAAGGCACAAGGCGAGGCTAGTTGCTAAAGGCTATAGTCAGAAGGCTGGAATTGACTATGATGAGGTATTTGCTCCTGTTACTCGATTGGAGACTATCAGACTAATCATTTCTTTGGTAGCTCAAAACAAGTGGAAGATACAACAGATGGATGTAAAGTCCACCTTCCTAAATGGAGTTCTTGAAGAGGAAGTTTACATTCAGCAACCATCAGGCTATGAAGTCAAAGAGCATGAAGACAAGGTGTTGAAGTTGAAGAAGGCTCTTTACGGGCTAAAACAAGCACCAAGGGCATGGAATAGTCGAATCGACAAGTACTTCCAAGAGAATGGCTTCAACAAATGTCCCTACGAGCATGCTCCATATATCAAGATCAAAGATGAAGATATTTTGATCGTGTGTCTCTATGTGGACGATTTGATCTTCACTGGAAGCAACCCAAGCATGTTTAATGAATTCAAGGATGTGATGATGAAAGAATTCGAGATGACAGACATGGGGCTCATGGTGTACTACCTTGGCATTGAAGTTAAGCAACAAAATGATGGAATTTTCATTTCACAGGAAAGCTATGCAAAGGAGATACTAAAGAAGTTCAAGATGGAGAACTGTAAGCCAATAAGCACACCGACAGAATACGGGATCAAAATGACCAAACATGAAGAAGGCGAAAGTATAGATCCAACATTCTTCAAAAGTTTGATAGGAAGTCTACGCTATCTAACTTGCACGAGACCCGATATTCTTCATGCAGTTGGATTTGTTAGTCGCTACATGGAATCTCCAGCAACCACCCATTTTAAAGCCGCAAAGAGAATTCTTCGCTATCTGAAAGGTACAATTGACTTTGGCTTGTTCTATTCAGTTTCTAATTATTACAAGCTTGTTGGATATAGCGACAGTGATTGGGGTGGAGACATAGATAATCGAAGGAGCACTACTGGATTCGTATTTTTCATGGGAGATATTGTGTTCACATGGATGTCAAAGAAACAACCGATTGTCACATTGTCCACTTGTGAAGCGGAATATGTTGCTGCTACCTCTTGTGTTTGTCATACAATTTGACTTAGAAATCTATTGAAGGAGATAGGTTTGACAAGAAGAGCCTACCAAGGTTTGTGTCGACAACAAATCAACCATTGCCTTATCAAAGAATCCAGTATTCCATGATCGAAGCAAGCACATCGACATTCGCTACCACTATATATGGGAGTGTGTTGCAAAAAACGATGTGGAAGTTGAATACGTGAAGTCACAAGATCAAGTTGCCGATATTTTTACCAAGCCACTGAAAAGTGAAGACTTCATAAGATTAAGGATCCTAACGAGATCAAGTTTAAGGGGGGTGTTGGATCATAAACTTGATCCATTATGGAAGCCTAAACCTAAACCCAAACTAAATTGATGTCATTGCTTACATCATTTAAGTAAAGTTGTCATTGCTTACATCATTTAAGTAATGATGTCATTGCTTACATCAATTTAGTTAGGTGAGAGTTAGGTATTTGTAGACTTTAATGGTTTAAATTAGTTTATTTGTGTGGTGTAAGATTGTTCTTGAGTAGTATAAATACCCCTCCCCATTTTAGTTTTAAACATCAAGAAAAATTAAGAGCTTCTAAGTGAGTGAAGAAGCAAAGTCTTATAAGAGTGAGTTGTAGTTCTTGTTTTTGAGTGAGAGTGCTCTTGTAATATTTGTTTGAGTTTCAATAAAAAGTTGTTTGTATGAGTGTTTTATTTCCAACACCGTTTTGGATGAACTCGTAGACCAACAAAGGAACTTCAGCCTCTAAGCAACAGCGTAAGAGCTTAACAACATTTCTATGGTTGATTTGAGACAAAATCATAACCTCGTTAATGAACTGTTCAACCTTGTTTTCGTCGAACTTACTGCTCCTCCCATTCAGCATTTTAGATTTCTTAACGGCCACAATGCTTCCATCCGTTAGCATTCCTTTGTAAACTGTTCCTTGGCCACCTTGACCGAGGATTCGATTCTTGTTGTAGTAATCCGTTGCCTTTTCCATCTCCTTTGAACTAAACAGCTTTATTTTTTCCACATTACCAGACAAGTGTTGTTGTAGTAACAGACCTCCATTTCGTTTGAAGTACTTCTGTTTCAGCTTCACGTCTTGCCTTTTTTTCCAGAATTTGTGCATTTGCCATGTTGCAATCAGCAAAGTTATTGACCCCATGCTAGTGGTGCAACCTATACAGAGACAGAAAACACACTTTCATCAAGTTAAAAATGTCAAATCGGGTCAGGTTTAAAGATGATAAAAACATGTATCTAAGCTCGGGTCGAGATCAGATTTTGTTGTTATGATGTCAAGTCAAGGATAGGGATACATGGTTGGGTTTTGTTGGTATAGTGTCGAGTCATGTTTAGCTCGGTCAAAAACTCGTCCTGATCTACCCAGTTGCCATCCCTAAGGGAACACTATTGCACCATGGCATTGTTTTTGATAGTGGCGTTTTAAAAATTTATGCCATGTTTAGTTACATGAGTATTAACACACAAAAAAGTTTAATTACTACACGAGTTTTAAATCAAATAAACTGTATTTATTCCTTCTCTTTATTCAAACTGAGTTATTAAAAACTATGAAATGAAAGTTTACTGCTAACTTATATACTAAAACATAAGTAATAACCAAGACTTTTACTAAAAAATTGTTACTACATCAGGGCCTCAGGCATTGATATATAGAATGTGATCACCACATGAACTGAATTAACCTAAACAACCGTAATGCTGCTAATTGTAAAAAGAAAAAGGTGGGTGATTTCAACACATGCCAATTATAATGATTTTAAAGTTTCGAGTTGTTCGATTTGACGGTTTTGGTTTCAAGCAATAGTTGTCAGGAGTGTTCAAGCAAAGAATGTAACACCATCTATGTTCCCCGCATTCCTTCCCTGTCATTTGCGAGAGGAATTTAAAAAAAAAAAGTGATGCACGTTATCTCAAATCATTTATTAACAGTAATCGAAAACGTGTTAAGTTGTGTACCTTCGCAAAACGTCTCCTGACCGATAAACCTCTCCTCGGCACATACACATAGATGAGTAGAGTTCAAACTGTTCCAGCAATATCGACCATCGGAGCTACAAGAAGTGTCTGAGACCTGATTCACACGGCACGATCCGCGTTTCGGAGTGCCCCATTGCAGTGATGCAGGAACATAGGTCCAATCACTCGTATCGAGATCTTCGGACGATTTGGTCAAATTATAGTGCAAAACTGAATAAACAGGGGAAGCAAATCCACAAGATCTTTTGCTACTAAGGTCACTAGAATCAACCGCATCAGTCATGTTTGCAAAGAATGAATTGAGACCTCGAGGAATAACAACACGGCAGCCAGTAGTGGAGGAAGTCTCCTTCCGGATCCTACAACTCGGTTGCGAACATCCGCCGATATGATTACGTTTAATCATCCTTGCAATCGCTGGTGTTCAAACCCACGATCTCTAAGAATAACAACAATTCCTTTAAACACTGAGATAAATTGAAATACATCAAATAAATTGTAAGAAAAAATATTTATAAAATAAGTACAGAGAAGATATAATATAAGATCTTGCTGATGAGACTCAATTTGAATCAAGGGATGCATCAAACAAGTCATATACGGTCTTCCATAAGGTCTTGTATGAAAAAGTTTATTAGGTGTTGTTCCAACCTTTGAACGTGACATGATTGTTACGATCAAGTGGATTTTTCTTGTCTTTACATTCGAAATTAAAATCAAATATTAAGAGGAATAAAAACTACCTAAACTGAAGTTAATATAAATTTATTACATATTTAATTTAAAAAATTAAAACATTAAAAATTTAATTTAGATTTAAATTGATAAAGACTTAAATACTATTAGACCAATGATTAGTTTGACATTACTTTTGAAAAGTAACCTTTAAAAATAATGTAAAAACAAACATTTAAAAGTGTTTTTCAAAAGTGCAATATAAAATTTAAATGTTTGAGTTTTGTTGTTAAAAAATAAGTTTAAAAAGATAAAATGTTCATTATAAACATTATGTTGTAAATTGAAAACATAGCATTTAAATTATATTTATAGTTATTAATACTATGGTATATAGTATATACTTAACTATAATAAAAATATATAAATTAATAATATTTCTATATATGAAATATAAAATCATATGATCGATACTTTTAAACATAATTACTCATTTACAATTTCAAATAACATAATTTAAATGATGTATTTATCAATTTAACCATTCAAAAATAAAAAAACATATTATAAATAAATTTAAAAAAATATTATTATATATGAATTATATCAAATTAAACTATAATAAAAATATAAAACATACAAATAAAAAATATAATTATAATAAAAATATATTATATAATAATTCACTATTAATATTTTAATATATAAATTATGGATTTTATTTATTTTTAAATAATTAAAATACATTATTTTTTTAAGAATGTTAATACTAAATTATTAAAATAAAATATAAATATAAAATTAGATAAAAATATAAATTTGCTTTTAAACGAAAAATTAAAAAATTAAAAAAATTAAAAATTCAAACTTTTGCAGACTGTAATTCATTTTTTTTTTAAAATTTTTATCTGTTAGATATTATTTTTAATATCAAAACGATTTTGTTAATTCAAAATACTTTTACACAACATTATCGTACGGAACTCATAAAGTTTGAAAAGGACGAGACATCTCCCATTCTTCTCTCTCGTCCGCAGCCCAATTTGATAAGATTACAAATATAATTTTATTGCTCTAAATTCGAATAAAAAATTAATTTAAAATCTAACCCGACCCGAAACCTCTCCGAAAAGAGATTGAAAAGGAGGGGGTGGGGGGAAGTAAGGAACTAAAGTGATAGGGAGCGACTGACCATTATCACCGCAGGAGGTGGAATCCCACTGAAGCGTTGCAGGAACATGCGTGGTTCCACTGTTGATTTCAACGGGCAATGGGTAAACAGCCTCGAAATAGGCACTGCAATACATGAAAGCAGTTGCGCAGCTCCTCCTCTCGCTGCCATTCATGTTCCTCATGCTTACACTATATGAAGTAAAGTTTCCAGCGATTTCGGTATAGCAGCCACCACCGCCGTCGCTGCGGCATACCGGTTGCATGCAACCGACGACGGAATCCCCTCGGTTAGTAGAGATAGTAGCCCAATTCCCGCAGCCCACCGAGCCGAAATAGTTGTAATAACCTGGTAAGAAAAACGGAGAGCCAGCTAGATCGACGTCGGCTCCGGTGATGCCGAGTTTACGGTCACAGTTAACGTAAGTTACTGGATAATTGACGATAACGGTGTTCTCGAAAAACGAACTGAGTAGCTCCAGATTGATGCCATTTATGTTAATGAAAGGCTTATTCTCCTGGCAACTTACTCTAAACGAAGGATGAGGATAGCAGTTTCTTTTGATTCCAAATGGGTATGGAATAGTAGCATTTCCACATACTTCTTCTCCACAAATGGCTTCTGCTGCCTCTGATATTGGGCTCAACAAGAGGATTAAGTAAAACCCAAACAAAAAAACCATTTTGGATTGTTAAACAAGAATTAGATTGGGTTAATTGCTTCAAAAATATATAGAATGATATAAGCAATCACATGGCATCTATTAAAAAAAAGTTATCACATGGCATGGATGCTTTCAATTTTTAACTGATAGTGCAAGACAGAATACTAATCATAAAATAATTCAGTCCACCAGATTTGAATATTTTGAGTCATTAAATTTTTATTAGGTTAAGTTAGACGTATCACATGTAGATTGGGTTAATAGATCAAAGATACATAGAATGATATAAGCAATCACATGGCATGAATGCATTTCAATTTTTTTAACTGTAGTGGAAGACCGAATATTTATCATAAAATATTAAGTCCACCAAATTTAAACATCTTGAGCCATTAAACTTTTTAATAGGTTAAAGTTAGACGAATCACATGTAGATTGGTTTTAATTGGTTCAAAGACTCGCATGGCCCTATGGGAATGATTTAACACAAGGTAATCCGGACTCATCAAATTATGTTCCATCATTGAAATTTTAAAAATCATATAATAGCTATTAATTTTATTGAATGATTATAAAATAATTATGAAAACTTTTAAACCTACAATTATAATAAATTTGTAGTGATTATTTTATAATAATTTAATATATCTAATGATCCTTTTATAACTTTTAAAAATTTAGTGATGAGAATGATCATTTAAATACCAAGTGTCAAACATTCAAAAAAATATTATCACATTACGAAAGTTTTTGAATAAATATTATATTGTATTCACCCAAATTATTTAAAAAATATTAAGTGTCACATTGATTCTTATACATGTACTAATTGAGATTGAAGTTGACGAGGAGTTTGTTTATTAAAATTAAAACTGATTAGATAAACAAAATTAAGGTAAACTACACTTGTGATCATTTAGTTATAGGGAGATTCATGCCTACACATGGGAATCCTTATGTAGAGGGTAAAATTTCATTGTTAAGATCATTTGGTTAAAATAAATCCCAAAAGGTAAAATATAATGTCCAAAAACCATTGAACACATGAGAATCCTTTTGCAAATGTTACAATTGCATTAACTATTTTAAAAATATTTACAAAAAAAACCTTTCGGAATTTACAAAATAATGTCAAAAAACCATGAAACAATCATTTTGTCAAAAATAAAGTCCAAATGGTCAAATTACGAAAAAAATGAACCGAATCAAATTGTCTTGGAAGGTTCAAAAAAATTAACCAAACCAAACAGATCTCTCCCTTAGTCATCGGCTTAAACATTAAAATAATAAGGATAATGATAATAATAATAATAATAATAATAAAAACACAATACTTATAGCCCTTTACAATTTTGCTCTTTAGATCCAACATACGAAGATTGGAAATTCTAAAACATCAATACCGGCTTATATAGTCGGCTTCCTCGGGCTTCAATCAAACCTGCAGTTTTCTCCAGAGACTTGTGCAATATGTAATACCAACAATAAAACAGGGAGTTCTCAATTCTAGACGATGACCAACAATATTATTCGAAGGCAGGAACAACAGATGCTACATGAAGCAAAATTAATCAGCAATGCAATTCTACTGGGCCATAAGGGGACTAAGCGTAACTTATGATGTTGCAAAATACGAGACATAATGACCAATCACGCTCAAGTAATTTTCATATTGGGCAACAAGTGTGATTGCCGAAAGATTATTAAGGAAATCTTCCACAATCACAACGATATGTCCCTTGATTAGACTAGATGGGGTCCTACTTCATACATTCAAGTATGGAAACAACTGAAGAAAATTCCAGCTCCCCCACATTAGTTGACAATTTAACTAGTTAAAAATTCAAAACTAAGTACTTACTATTTCTAAGAGAAGCTTTCTGTCAAAACAACGACACCTCAACGCGGACAAGTAGATAAATTGAATGAAAAACTGAAAACTTGCAGCCTGCAGTATTATCCCTACTAGAAAGTGTAACAACATATCTAAGTCTGTAGTAAGTAGTAACATAGTCACTAGAATCAATGAGTTGATTCCAAAGAACAAAACCTAACTAAAAGATAAATAATCCAGGATCAACCTGTAACATATTTCCCAGATTAGATGGCTGACACATAATGATGCATCTACGATCCATAAAGACCAGAAATACCATAGCATTAATACAACTAGACACTGATCATTAGAAGGTAGAGTAACTTGACAACTGCTGCAACATCAGGACAACAAGACCGACTTTCAGACACCCACACTGAGCAATGTTGGATGATGACTCTGGACCTTCTCAACCCTCAAAACATGTCCTAGTACTCACTGGAACAGTGTTGGTAAAATAGACTGCTGCAAAACGAGGCGTTAGCACTGACTGGAAAATATTAAATAAAATAATCAATCAGAATGATAACCGTGTCGTGGTAATCCACTGCCTTAGAAGCAAATTCGCCCGATGTGTGTAATCACTGCAATGGACGAACAACCCCCTAAGGTTAACACGGCTCTCCAAGAATTCGTACACCCGAAAACTGGAGTGAACTTGGTGGTATTGCTCTTCTCTCAACTCAAACAACACTCAAAAGATAGGAGTGTTTCAAAGCAAATGTTTGCTTGGGATATCTCAAAGTGAATGAAATTGCCCTCTATTTATAGGCTAAATAGTGAGGGTAAAATAGTCACTTCCAAATCACAATTTAATTCTATTAAACATAGAATTAAAAACCTTTAAAAAACTGTTACAAATTGAGCATTACCAACATTCCCCCACTAATGCGAAAGAATTCTTTCGTAAAGATGAGAGCAATGAAGTTAAAACATGAGAAGAGCAATAGCGAGATTAGTTGCTTAAGCACTAGTGAACGTATCTGGAACTAGTACATAGTGATGATGAGCAATCCTTCTCTTAGATAAGTGAAACTAGTCTGAAACTTTATAAGATTGGGGTAAACTCATAACACACAACTAATCCCTTCATCCACCAAAGTTCTCGACGTGTCTACAAAGAATATATACAAAAGCGTATATATATTTAGCCCTCTTTCCTCAGGATTCTAATAAGTGTACTAGAAAAATGGCCTAACGTTTTTCATAGAAGGTGGCTAATCCTTCTCACTTACGTAGGTTATTTCATCAAGTTTATATAAACATAAACCACTCAAACTGAGCTATGAAATAATTAAGAGCTTTTATAATAGCTCAACCTCACAAAGGGTATGGTGACTTTCTTCAAGTTTATTATTAATGAACCACCCAAACTCTGGGATAAGAAGTCATTAAGAATAAATATTCAGCCTCATAATTCGGTGAATTCAATATGTCCTTCTCACTAGGAACTCCCATTCAATATGTCCTTCTCATTAGAAACTCCCAAACTCTTGGGTTTGAATTCATTAAGAGTTTAATAAAACTCATTATCTCAAGCGGTAAGTTCATCTAGTCATTCGCGATTAGAACTACCCACTCAACTCTGGGTTATGAACTTATTAAGAATAGATATTCAACCAAAATCGGTAAATTCATCAAGTCTTTCTCACTAAGACCACCCAAAGCCTGAGCTATGAATTTATTAAGAGCAATTAAGCTCATCCTGGGCATGCACATTATTCATCATAGGGATAGGCAGTAGGAATGTGCACTATGAGTCTTTCCATGGTTTCGTTTGACCACATGGAACTTAGATAACTAAGTTGGGTATCCACCATGAATTCCTCAACCAATGGGCTTTAGACCCATCCCCATCGACGAATCTAGGACCAAGGATCTGCTAGGTTCCTTTCCGACTTCACATACTCTAAAGAGAGCACTCCATTCTTTATTAATTGTCTAACTGATTCATGTCTTATGCAAATGTGTCTTTTCTTACCATTGTACACATATCACAGCTTGTGAATCACACAACAAAGAAATCAGAGGAGCCGGTCTTCCCCATAACAGAATATTTGCTAACAAGCTTCTGAGCCACTCGGCTTCTTGCTCAGCGGTCAAGAGCTATAAACTCTGACTCCATGGTAGAACGAGCAATACAAGTCTGCTTCGATGATTTCCACGAGATTGCTGCTCCACTAAAAGTAAATACATACCCACTCGTAGAGCTTACTTCATCATTATCAGAAACCTAGTTGGCATCACAATATCCTTCCAGTACCGCAAGATAACCAACAAACTCAAGTTTCCAATCCAAAGTACCCTTAAGATACTTCAGTAAGCGTCTAAGAGCAATCTAGTGTTCACCACTCGGATTATGAGTATATCTATTTAGTCTACTCACAACATAAGCAATATCAGGCCGAGTATAGTTAATTAAGAACATTAAGCTTCCGATTAATTTAGCATATTCTGTTTGGGAAACGCTACTTCCTTTATTTTTTAAAGAGATATATGTTAGGGTCACAAGGGTTCGAACATGGATGATATCAAAACTGTCAAATTTCTTTAACACTTTCTCAAGATAGTGTGCTTGACATAAAGAAAATCTTTTTCCAGTAATTTTGACTCCTAAGATTACATCAACTTCTCCCAAATCCGTCATCTCAAATTTAGTGGACAAGAAATTGTTTGTTTTGTTAATGGACTCAATGTTAGAACTGAAAATCAACATGTCATCAACATACAAAACTTATGATGACGTAATCAGTACCAAACATCCTCGAATACACACAAGCATTCGAACCATTGTCAACAAAACCAAAACTAAGTATAGTTTTATGAAATTTCTTGTACCATTGTTCTCATATAGATCTTCTCATCTAGATCTCCATTCAGAAATGCATTTTTAACATCCATTTGATGTACTCGCAACTTATGAATGGAGGCTAGTGCAAATAATGCACGGATCGTTGAGATGTTCATAACGGGAGAGTAAGAATCAAAGTAGTCTAAAACAAACTTTTGAGTGAACCCATTGACAACTAGCCTTGCCTTGTACCACTGGATCAAACCATCTGGTCTCATTTTCTTCCGGAAGATTCATTTGCTACAGATTGGTTTAAATCCTCTAGGCAAGTCAACTAATTCTCAAGTATGATTAGACATTACCGATTCTAGTTCA